GTCTTGAGGCGCTCTGGGCTGTGGGCTGAAAGCTGGAGAGGAGCAGCTCTGGCTTCCCCCAGAGGAGATTCAAAGGGAGGGAGCTGATTCCTTCCCCTTGGCAGATTTTCCACCATTCCCACGGGCCAAGCAATTCCCTTCTCCTGCCCAGGCAGGTGGATTTCAAAGAAATTCTGCTGGGTTTGGAGCAGGAAACACGAAAAATGATCAATAATCAGCTAAAAGTGGAAGGCCAGGAGCAGGAGGAAACATCTGGCACGTGGAGCTGCCTGACCCAGGGTGCAGGTTAAGCCCAAACCTGCTGGGACTAATCCCCAGGGATCTCCAGCCTGACCCACTTGCCCACATGTGCAATTTGTTTAAAAAAAACCCCTATGATTTTATTAAATCCTCAAGAATCACCCCCTGGGCAGGTAGAATTCTCTTCGAGCTGGTTCAGGGGAGTCCCATTTTTTGTAGGGTTGGTGGCAGATCTTGATTTTGAATTCTGGATGGGTTTTTTCTTCTTTTTGGAAGCATTAACGTTCAGATAACTGGGTCGGTGTGTTGAAGGAATGAGTCAACCTAGAAACTGGCAGAGCTGTGTCTCATTGCCAGAGAAACCAGCCCTCCTCCTGGAAACGTGTCCTCCCTGCAGCTCACGGGGGAGCCTTGCTGGGGCTCAGCTGCCTCCCAGACTGCACACACAGGGGGGGTGAGGGGCTGCACCCCCTCAGCGTGGGCAGCAGGGCAGGGAGGGGATCCTGCCCCTCTGCCCCCCCTCTGTGAGACCCCCCTGCAGTGCTGGGGCAGCTCTGGAGGCCTCAGCACAGCAGAACCTGCTGGAGAGGGGCCAGAGGAGCCCCAGCAATGCCCCGAGGGGGGCACCCCTCTGCTGGGAGCCCAGCAGGAGAGAGTTGGGCTGGGGCAGCCCCAGAGGAGAAGGCTCCAGCTGGGGAGACCTGCTGGGGGGTGTTTAATACTTGGAAGGAAGCTGGGGACAGAGTTTTGAGCAGAACCTGTTGCACCAGAACAAAGTGCAATGGCTTTAAACTGAAAGAGGGAGATTTAGACTGAAGAGAAGGGAGAAAATTTGGATGCTGAGGGTGGTGAGCCCCTGGCCCAGGTTGCCCAGAGAGGTGGTCGCTGCCCCATCACCGGCA